GCCGTTCAAAGTCTCAGCTACGCGAGGGCGTTACATTAAGAATGTGAACAGTTACCTGTACCCTTGGACAAACCTTGAGCCGGATGGCCACTTTTGTTTCACGTGCCGAGTTTCAAAACACACTAATTTTCGGAAATAATGCCTAAGCCTGTTTCCCATAATATTTCTAATGGATCTTTTTGATGATTGTGGGTACAGATTTCTTAGGAAACTTCATTGGGGAACAGATAAGTGATTTAAAAAGAAAATGATAAGTATGACTAGGCATAAGTCCAAGGTCTTTTACTGACCCTTCTTTGTAGTTAGTAGTACAAAGGCTGGAATTTCAGCGATAGAGGAAAAAACCCGATTTTGGAAATAAGGTGAAAATTGCATACCAACTTGTTTTCAAGCAAGATGGTGGTAACTCGAGGCATTTGTACAAAAAATTATTGACTGTTGCTAATGGTGTTTACAGACATTTTGAAAAACATAAGTCTGTTCACTTTATTCTTTTGGCATTCTGTAATTTCTCACCCATTCCGTAGCCCAGCAGTGGCGAAGAATATGTTCCCAAAGTTCACCCTGTAGCATGTCCCATTTTAATCTCTCTACCTAAAGATAAAACTGCACATTTTAAAAAAATAGTGTTGAACGAGAGATGTAGGGTTTCTAGAGGTCAAAATGTTGGTTACCTTGACATTGACCTTGACTTCGACCTTTCTGCCAGCAAGTTTCTTGTAATGCAAACGTACAAACTAACCTTGAACTGCTAGAACAGTTGCAGATACTTTTTCCCGAAATTAAACATTCTAACACTGCCCTCGTTGTTTCTTTATAAAATGGCGATATATACGTATAGTAACAGAGATAATTTCACCTTGAATACTAATATATACTAAGTGACATATAAATCCGAACACCCAGTTTAAATGGTTTTATTTTAATAAAAGTTGGCGAATGTATTTATCTTACTGTAAATAACAAGTGAAAAAATTTTCAGCATTATCAGTTGGACATTCCGGTTTTTATGCTGCTTTTTTTTAATTCACTAACGCTCTAAAAATGAATATTTCAGCCGCAGTAAAGAATCAACGTTGGCGGATTTTGGTTCTTGACATCCTTTACGATCGGTTACGATGCCTAGAGTACGGAGACCTGTACGATTTCGTCAACTTAGTGAGTTTGATAGGGGCCGTATAGTGGGACTTCGGGAAGCTGGACTTTCTTTTCGGGCAATTGGAGTTAGAGTGCAAAGAAGTGTAGACACTGTGGTTAGGTGTTGTCAGGCATGGCTTCGAGAAGGCCGTACGCAAAGAGCAAGGGGCACTGGACGCCGCCGTACAACAGCAGACCGTGAAGATCGTCGCCTAAGATACCAGGTCCATTGCAAATGAATGTTTTGCAGAACACGGAAGACCTATTGGCATGCGAAGTGTTTACCGACGAATGAGAAGTTCTGGCTTGTTTTCATACCGGCCACACTGGGTCCTCCCTTTAACTCGAGAACACCGACGTAATCGCCTTGAGTGGTGCAGACAACGGTCACTCTGGGATCAGGAATGGAACAGTATTGTCTTTAGTGACGAGTCTCGATTTTGTTTAGGCATGCACGATGGTCGTGCCAGGATTAGAAGGTGACGTGGTGAAAGGAGGAATCCACAGTTTTTTGTTGAAAGACGTGTTCATCAAACTGTTGGAGTTATGGTTTGGGGTGCTACAGCTTATGGTTCCAGGTCATCTTTAATCTTCATCAGAGGTAACATGAACGCGCAGCGTTATATCCACGAAGTTCTAGAACCCCATCTTTTACCCTGGCAGATCCAACTTTCCATCAAGATAATGCCCGACCACATGTTGCAAGAGTCACAATAGACTTCTTTCATCATAATGATGTCACACTGTTACCATGGCCACCAAGATCTCCCGACTTATCCCCAATTGAGCACGTGTGGGATATGATGGGTAGGAGATTGCTCAATTTGCAACGTCCTCCTCAGACTCTAGAAGCACTGCGAGAGGAGTTGGTGGTTACCTGGAATGAGATACCACAGGAGGACATTGACCACCTGATCAGAAGCATGCCTAGGCGCGTTGGAGAATGCGTAGCACATCAGGGTGCATCCACACATTATTAAAGGTCAAAGGGCTTTAAAGCAGTGCAATCATTTTGAAATTTTTATCATTTACTTATTATGCTTCATTAAGTACTTATACAAAATTTTATTAAAATAAAACCATTTAAACTGGGTGTTCGGATTTATATGTCACTTAGTATACATACATTCAATACTCATAGGCAGCACGATATTCATCTATCCTTTGCTCGATGTAAGCTGGATAGTAGATCTACCTCTATTTTAGGACCAAAGATATTCAATAAGCTGCCTGAGTATATTAAGACAATTAGCTCCTTAAATAATTTCAAAGCTGAGTTAAGAACCTATTTTATTAATAAGACTTGTTACGCCATCATTAACTTTGTGGATATTGAGATGTTCTTTATTGTTTGTCCTTTTATATATTTTTATATGATATTTCTGTTAATTTATTAATTTTAACCGCTGGAAAGCTAATCTATTTTATCTGCTGTTGTTAGCCTATGGTGCCCATTTTAAAATATCTAATTTGAGCGATTGTTTGTTGTTGCTTGTCATTTTACTGTTGTTTTTTATGTCTATACATACTGTAAATTGTTTGTTGACAACCCTATACATGTTTTATACATGTCTAATGGATAATAAATATTATTATCATTATTATTATTCGATTGAAAAAGCTGAAGTGGCCACGTGCACTTTTTTTAAGCTATACATTATAATACGACTCCTGAACTTAACTTTTTCCTACGTTTGACCATCACCTGCATTAATGGTGAAATATTCCTGAGGCACTACCCACGTATGAATATTTCATTCCCGCTCTCAAAGTTGCGTAAAAATTGCTTTACCTGGTAGGCGGGATGGGTTTGAACAAGGTCCGGCATTCGTGCCAGAGCTTAAAATTATATATTCATAAAACGGAAAGGTTGCTTTGAAATTCATAAACAGCGGCATGTTTACTAAGCTTCAGTGCAAGGATTTCATGCGTTACATCACCGCATGGAGTTTCTGGATCTACTCAGGATTTGGCTGTTGTTTATCCAGTTAGTTGACTGGTGACGTGATGAAAATGAATTTCTGATAATCTCATTCAGCTCGCGATGAGGTGCAGAGGTTTCGATCACTTCTTTGTTTGCCGGGAGCGAAGTGTATAGTGGGGGTCACTGAATCAATCGCCGCATACGCGGTGGACAAAACAGGAGAAGCATCTGATTAATACTGAAATATGAGTGTAGTCTCAGTAGGCAGGCAGCAGCGGTGGCCGCAGTAGTAGACTCTTCGGTCTCCTGATCAGTCGCCGTGCGCTGTGCGGGTTCGAGTCCCGTCCCAGGAGAAATTTTTCTCTTGGCTATGGATGATGTGATTGTCCGTAGGTGGTAGACGGTTTCTGACTGTCGAACGTGGAGGTACCACCCGGCGGATCTCGTAGGCGGAGCCAGAATGTGTTCATGTTGCATGCACACGTGTTCCCTGGCCAGAGTCCGTGTGGCGTTCCCCCTTTCCCCTGTATCCCCCTATAGCCCCACGGTAGTAGTAAAGAAAACACTGAAAACTAAATTTGTCTTTCGGCTTGGGTTCAATGTGTATGAGAGAGAAATGTGTATCGACACATATCGTCGTTGTCATGATGAAACCATCTACGAGCCGTTTCCCACTTCAGTTGGCCCAACTATTGAAATCTTAGTTTTTTCTTATCAAACACAAATAATAAAAATGTAGCAGGGTTTTATAGGTTTAAAATATTAACAATGAACATTTTGATAATATATAGTAGAAAACACCAACTTTATCACTCCCTAATCACATTAAAAATAACACATGTTGCAATTACAGCATATCAACCTATTTTCGCTTCAATGCAAAATAAGTCTATAACGCATAGGTGGCTGTGAAGAATAAAAGCCATGACAATTGTTTTTATTAATCACAGCTGTCAGAATAAGTTTAAAATAGTTTTGGGTAGTTAAGGTTTTCAAAATGGGTAGAGGAACGGTTACACTGGACAACAAATTTTGATTTTTTAATTTTATCTTGTGGGAAAAGTGCACTTCTTTGTTAATTTTGGGGCGCTGAATCCAAAAATGACAATGAAATAAAAAAATTAGTTGCGGTTTAGAAAAAAAACTTTTATTTTTAAGGATATATTAAAAAAGTAACAAGATTCATATACTTATAAGAATCACTATTTGCGCTATCTTTTTGCTGTTCTTTTATGGATCGTTTCTGGAGCATCTCTACCAAGAGTCCAACAGTAGTCTGCAAGCATGGAAGGATTCCACTTTCCCTGGTACCTTTTTTCCATTGTTGAAATATCCTGATGAAAACGTTCGCCGTGCTCATCACTTACGGCTCCGCAATTGTCAGGAAAAAAGTCCAGGTGTGAGTGTAGGAAATGTATCTTAAGAGACATATTACAG